CTGGTGTCGAGAGGATTTCCAAGGAATTTATAAAGCACAAATAAATAGATTTTCACATATTACACAGCCAAACTTTCTGTTGTTTTCGACTACTTTATAAATAGGCTTAGCTGGCTCAGCCCCTTTGTTTCGTATGCGATTCGACGCACAACTTTCAAATAATCACATAAAATTGCTGCGCCAATGAAATGCACAGAAACTTGGCCCATAAATGTGCAACTACATGATGATGTCTCAGCCAGATCCCTAGCTCCATTTACCCCAAACAAAGGCGCTCCGGCAAACAAAATGCGGCATTCCTGCGGCTGTGTCGACAACTCCTCTGCACTCGGGCACAAACTGTAATAACTAATAATAAACCGAACATGCACACAGAGACACGTTTCGAGAGAACCATTAAAAATAAATCATGTATAGAAACAAGTCGGAAGACCCAGAGAAACAGATACCCTGTACCCTTGTGCTGTAACAAAGATTGTAACTTTCGCATATATGCATTTTTTAAAAGTGAAATATTCGGAATCTGTGTAAGCAGCTCTCCCTACGATATGATCAAAAAGATGAGAAATATCGGAAATAAATTATATAGATTTAAAGCCTATATCTACAGACAGATTGGCAAACGATATCTATATCCCGACTATATATATATCTATATCTTCTGCCTCAAACTTCCACAAAACCAGAATACCCTTTCATACCCATTTTAAATATCTACAGGGTATATAAATCTATAGAACCGAAAGCTGCAGCAGCTGCTCCTCTTCCACGCTGAAGTGTCTTCCGATCCCTTTGCCTAATGCCTGTCTGCTGCTTTTGTTGTTTGGACAAGCGCCGCGTGTGATATGCCTCCATCGTCGGCGTCTCATAAGAGGGGCCTGATTCCATCGGCATCTCGGGCAACTCGCATCCCGCGCCTCTCGGTACCTCGGCTAGTGCACATCAATCATTTGTAATTATACGCTCCTCTCCTTGCGTCTATACTCTACGCTTTTCTCTCTTTTTTTGTTTGATGGCCTAACGGAAATGGCTTTTATTTTGGCAGCCCAGTTCAGTGATCCGATCTTGGTGCGTGTGGAGCATCTCACTCGCATCGCGCACTCGAGGCCTGTCATTTCCCTCGAGACAATTTATATGCCTTAAGTAATGTGTAGCATGAGATATACAGTTGCAAAGATCGGTGAATTCCAAAACTGATTACATAGAGAACCCAAGTACCTGGAAAAGATCCTAAGTACGGCAAATAATCTTTCTACTGAGAGTATTAGCCTATTCTCTGAATGATTACACACTCTAAAACTGTATGTCAGTTATTGTCAAGCAGTCAATCTCAAACTGTAGCAGTTATTGAATTTGTCGATTTGTGTGGATGGGTCCGGGTCTGGTTACACACTCGCATATTCTTAATGTTTTCAGTTTCTAATCTGAAAAACGTGACTACAAACAGAGAAAAGAACAATAGAATGTACATCTGGATCCTTTCTTTTTTGGGAGCAGAGTATAACGGTGTAAAAGAAGGTAGAATATATATTAATAAGTCTACTTCCAATACTAATAATTATATAGATTAACGAACAGACGGTATACAAAATCAATATACACTTGTTCACTTTGTGAAAACAGTAAAAAAAAACTTATTAAACAAATCATAAGCTTAACTCTGTTTTAGGTCAGCTGAAAAAACGTTATTGTTGAACAATTTAACAGAATGTCTTTAAAATCAAAGAAGCTAAGAACTTAAGGAGGCTAACGAGCTTATAACTGCTGGTTTTCATTTACCATTTGTTTGTTACTTAAAAAAAAACAAATTGTCAACCTTATCTTAACAGTTATCAAAGCAAACATTAGTTTTCTTCTGATTGTAACAAGCATTTAATTACCCAACTCTTAGGCAAATTGTCTACAAAAGCAGTTGACGATTTTCCGACAATACTTAAACAAAGTTAACAACCACTTTAACATGTTGTTAAAAGTTTCTGTGGCGTTCAACTTTATATTAAACATGCGACAAGAAAATGCGAGTGCAGAATACAACATTTGAATACCCTTTAAGAGATTATTAAAATTTTGTCATTAAATGTGTAATGCGCAGAAGCAGACATCTCCGGCCCCATAAAGTGTATATATTCTTGATCCAATCTTGATTCTTCTCAGTTTTAAAGCCATCTTCATGAAACTATACACAGGACTGTGGGAATCGACCGAATCAAACACCTTTATCATATAGTTACCACAGGAATGATAAGTACGTCAAAAATGAGGCTCATATTTTGTTTTTTACATTATTCGAACTACCACACAGAGCATCTTGTTCAAACTTAGAAATTGTAGGCTTTACTACTTGCTCTAACATGTATCCAAATCGTAGGCCATATCTCTACAAGATTCCTAAATTTTGAGCGTTTTGAAGATAGACATTTTTCCTGTTACTATTTAAAGATATTCAAATAATATTATTTTTCCCCATCAAATCGTTTATTATGCGCTATGAACCTAACCTTTTGTTTTCAAGGGGAAGAGCAGGCGTCATTCAATATAACTAGTTTTCAATTGAATTGAAATGAAACAGAAGGGAACTTCGAAGATAGGCGCAGCTTACCTGGAAAAAGAAAGCGAGTCGCCAATGTATGTTATTTATATAAGCTTATATAAAAACATATTCGAGATAATACTGAATATAATAGTTGTTTCTATTCATTTTATGCGCGCTGTATGCTCAATTGTTCGCTTCCTGTTGATATTATGATTTGCAGTGTGTAGCTGTGAGTTGAATTTCAAACCAATTGAATTAAATGCGAATTAAATGCGTTGCTGCTGCCAGCGAAGATAAAAGATGCATTTTAGCTTACAATATGTTCATATGTCTGTATGCCTATGTGTGTGTGTGTGTGTGTGTGTGTGTGTGTGTGTGCGTGCTTGTGTGTGTATGGATAAAAGCTTGTTTACATTTTTTCTGTACACACATCTGTGGAGAGGAAAATTGGCGCAAAATGTTTTTAATCAATTTAAATTGAATGATGACCCGCACAATCAGCGCAAGATGCGCGCCAGCTGCCCGAGAGAATTAGTTTTGGCATTGTATCTTTTACTTGGCCACTTGTAACTCAAAAGTATCTTGTGCGCTGCTTTTGAGACAATTTAAATAAAGATTGTTATATTTTTGTTATTTTTAATGTCGGAGTCTTTTTGACATAATTGTTTAACACACGTATTCTATTCGATTTATTTGTGTACAAGTTTCCTTTCATTCTTTTAAACCTCTAAGCCGGTTTCAATTTCATTCAATTATTTTAAATTCCGCGCATGTGAAGTCACATAACTATTAATGTGCACGAATCCGATATTTTTATCCACTACTCGACAGAAATATTTAATTTCAACACGCGACTGACAATAATTTGTATTTTCTTGTGCATTTCGTGTGTTATTTTTGTGCCGGTTTCTTGTCTGCTCTTTCGTGCCAATTTATTTATAGTTGCCTTGCAAATTGGGGGCTTGATCTACTTCATGTTTTTAATGTAATAAAAATTATGCATACGCCACGTGGGCCGCAATAAATACATTTTTTCGCTTCGAATATGAATTTCTTATAAGGCCATATTCCCTTAAATGCGATGCAGACATTTCAATATAAATTTATAAGCTAAATATAACTCGTTTATGGCAATAGCACAATCAAAGCCATTGTGTTCTCCAGAATGATATCGGAACGGGTCAAGTGTTTGCCCTGCTCAATTGCGTCCCGCAGAGGTGACCGTAATAAAAGAAAATTATTGAAATATGCGAAAATTCAATGTCGTTGCTTAATAAAGCGAAAAAAATTAATCATGTGCCTTTATACCTGCTATATAATATGCGTATAGCTCCTACATACATATACCATACTATATTTTGTGAGATTTATGCTTAACTATGAATCACTGTGGCTCCAAATAATAAAGGAAATGTGTCGAGTTTTCAACAATCTCTCTTTTATTTAGCAGGGCGAGGCAATGAACCGCAGTTTATCTGCTGCCTAAAGCACAGCAAACAGCTGAGAGGAATCTAGTCGGGTGTACGCGACTGGGAGATACCCAATACCCAGCGCCTAAATAAAGGAAATGCGGAGAGATATCGAAAACATATTTAATGCAAGAATATATGCATATTTCAAATTTTAGGACTATAAGGCAGATGTCTAACTGTCTGGATCAACCCAACTCGTTATCCCGAGCATATGTGTTACCTTCTGCCTTTTACTTATAGCTGCACCCAACCCATATACCCTTATTACGCATTTTAATGGGTACAGGACATAATCAGACACAGTTACATCAACAGAAATATCTAAAAATGCATTTATATGCAAAAGGCCAGTAAATGTCAAAAAGCAAACACTCAGAAAAGCCACAGTGAAATAAAAGTAAAGTAAATGAAGTTAGCGCAATTAAATATTCATAGAAGTCATCAAAGTCGAGCGGACTTTTCAAGAGAATGTGTCAACAAGATAAAACCGGGGCACAGAGCAAAGAAAAGTAAAAGTGTAAACTCATAAACAGAGACAAGCATTTGAAGAGAGAAACATTGCACAATTCCACCAAAATGTATCTGTTCGACTATTTGTTTTTCTAGCATTCTATTTTTATACCCTATACCAAAAAGAAAGAGTTGTTGGAGTTTCTTTCGGAAGCTTAGCACGCAGAGTTATAGCTGAATGTATACCGGCTACGAAATGTATGGTAAATGTAGTCTATAAAATATGTGCATTATTATTTTATTTGTTTTTCTTTAATTTGAGCTCTCTATTTAAAAATAAAGCCCGTGGGAAATGAGTATCTGCACGCCCGCTGTGTTATTTCAACTCTTATTTATCATTCGATTCAGAATCTTTAGTTTTGACGCATTCTTTTCCATGAGATTTCTATGGCGTCTCAAGTGCTATCTCAATTGAACAAATGTTAAACATTTTCCCCTGAAATAATATGAGAAATATTTATAAAAAAAAGAATAAAATTACTCACCAAGAACAGCAACAGCTGCGCACAGCGTTAGCCATTTGAGGCGTTCGTTCGGCATCATATAGGCCATTTTGTAGTCCACTCCGGATTATGAGTTTTCCGCTCGGGGTTGGTCTGTTGACTGTATCGATTAAATGCAAAAAAGACACCCTTTCTGGGCACACACGAACGCGACGATAGCGAGGTAAGGAGTAGACCCGGTGACTCAGCTGCTGCAATCAGAAACAAAACATTGTGGAGGTTAGGAATAGTTAGGAAATGAGCGCTACTTCCGGTTTGCAAATAATATAATGATTGCCAAGGCATCAAATCAGATATGTGATTAGCTTATACTACAAGTATCTTTTCTGAGTCAAGAGCAGTTAAGGAAGAGGTACGTATTTTAATTAACACCGTCTAGAACATGTAACTATCGATTTTAACCCCACAAGGCCCGCGCAGCAACAACAACAACAACAACAATGACCACGTTACCCAGTGTTAATGAAATGCAAGTAATTTGATTAGGCATGCAACAACCCCAGAGGCAACCCTTCAAGCAGGGCGACCAACAGGCAATAAATAAACCACCCGCACAAACTGCTGGACGTGCGGAATTGCTTTGCAAATTTGAGTGCAAAACGTTAGCTGGATGTGGGCAAATGGGCGTGGCAGGCTCTCAAAGTGTGTGGCCCTTAAGCACAGTCAACAGAATTTGCAGCTGAAAAAGTCTGGTGAAAGAATCTGTTAGCTAAGAGAATACATTGACCATAGTATAAAGAAACTCTATATTACTTATGAATCTGTTAACATTCGATGGGTTGCGCCCTGTCATCGTTTAGCTCTAAGAGACTTTCCACAACACCCTCCCCAGGCACTTTTATGTAAATCCATGAAAGTAAATGCACCAACAATTTGTCCGCAGATGCCACATATGGTGGTCGCATTAGACCCGCAGACTTGCGACGTCGAACTTGCGACAACGCCAACCATTTATAAAGCAATATAAACTATCAGCGAAAAATAGGAAGCAAATGCAGCAGAGAAAAGATATCTTCGGGTTGCCGAAAACTTAATACTCTTGCAGACATCAACTTAATTCATTTATTTAATAATAGAATATAATTAAGCGTATCGGCAAGCAATCAAATTCACAAGGCAAACAATGTTACTCAATTTATATTGACATGATAATAATTTTGTATAAATGTAAGATAGACTTAGATTTCCATGATACTAGAAGATATTGCCCGGTTTTCAACTTTTCCTCTATATCTCGTCCGTAGGAGAATTGAATCTTATATTTACTATATTTTCCACAATCGCTGAGCCAGGGTTCAAAATTTCATTTTATAAACAATTGAAACAACGTCCATAAAACCTTTGTACCCCTACCCTCCTCACCCTGGAGGGATGCATTTTGGGAAAAGTGAAACACGTTTCAGACGAAAGATCTTTGAAAATGAAACCGTTTTTCGCAAATTTTCCGCAGCTGGAATATCCCAAAAAATATCAGCTTATGTTAGTACTTAATTTACCAACTTGGGCGTTGCAATTAGTCTGTCTGTCAGTCAGAACACTCAATTTTATATAGATACTTTATTGAATTGAAAATATATTATGAAATGCGTGACAAACTTGGTGTAAAAGCTATAATATCCAATGTAAGAGCGTAAAAAGCAGGGAAAAAATCAACTACTGACGATGTGGATGTCATTAATTAAACCTCAAATGGGCAAATGGGCGGCAATGGGGCAATAGAGAATCCACTTCGATGTCGTCTTGTGCCTTTTGTCATCCATAAAGTATCAAACGTCATCTGTCCCCCCAAACATTAGCGTGCTTTGAAAACTCTGCCTGGCAGGAAGTCACGATTCCACACACACACGCACACGCACACACACATACACACACACAGAAGTGTTTTTTATATATATTTAGTTCTATGGACTGTCTGTGCTTCAGTTTGACATATGCCTCTTGCCATGTTATGAACTTGCCATACACGCGGACACGGATGTCATCATGGAACGGGACAGCTCGGCACTGTCTGGCTGTCTGCCTGTCTGTCTGTCTGTCTGTCTTGGCATGTGTCTGCAGCTTATCCAGCGGATAGCTGAAGATTATGTTTGAAATTTAGAGGCAATTTGTGCGCTTTTTAACGCTTAATTAAAACTTGAGTGCATTCCTCCATGGCAACAAATGCCTAAAGCTCTTTATTGTTTTATTTTTGTGTTTTTTAGATGCTCAGCTTTTTTTTTTTATGGATATCTAATGAATTGTATTTAACACGCCAAAGCTCGCCGCCCGACTATTTCCCGCTGTATCTGCGATTTTAAATTTATGGACTATTTTGATGGAGGGTTGCGCGGCGCAGGCGCAGCCGGCACGTGGCCAGCCATAAAGGGAGGATCAGACCGGCTGACGGTTGCCTTAACAAATGTTAGCCTACGAATTGGTTTAATGAACTCTGCCAGAGGGTGAACAACGCAATTGACAAGCTTGTTGGCTTACGGCGCAGTTGCCCAGCTGCGCAGTAGACTTTAGGGTGGAATAGCAAAAGTTAATTTAAATTATAGAGCAGCCAAGCCCAAGTTCACCAGATTATTTGCGACAGTTTCTAAATACGGAAAGCTTACTTATTTAAATAACTAGCAAAATATAATCATAATTTCATTTTAGATAAATTGAAGATGTATAGAAAATTGAGTGAAATTTGTTTGAACTTTTAGGAATTTTGCTTTAAGCCGAATCAACAAAATGTTTCTGCGTATTACAGCCATAATTTAGTTGCTATAGTTTCAGAGTATTACCCATCTGCGAATATTGCCGGGTAATGAACTTCTTGAGTACAATTTTTTGGGCCAATGTGCCCGATATTTTTGAATATTTAATGGCATAAGCATATAGAGAAAACAAAAGCAATTGCTCATCCTGTGCGTCTCACATTTGCTTGCTGCCTTGGGGCATGATTCAGCAACGTTTTTTGAGACGCGCCCATTTAAGCGATACAATAATTAAACATATGCCGAAAAGTGCGCGCCTTAATTAAGAAAACATCTGGTAATCGTTCAACATCGAGGCATATCCACGCGCGTCTCTGTATACAGCACAAAAAGCATCTAAATATCAAAATTTTTAATTTTTCAAGCAAATAATATCCAAAGTTTATTGGTTATCCACAAATATTTGCTTAACATTAAATAATACATACAATTTATACTAACACCTGAAATTTAAAAATAGTTGAGGGATTAATGGATCATCGATATTAAAAAAATAGATCCTACACAGAAAAGTTGGACGTGCTTGCATTATTTAATTAGTTTTACCTTATACGAGAATGTTTATTGTACAAGAATGTTTCATTTCTTAATCCGATCGAGCATTGCTGGCATATGTTATATTTGTAAGAAACATCATTCACAGAACAGATAAGAGTGCTCCAATCATATGTGACCGACTAAGAGATACCCCGCACCCAGTGACAAGCTATCTTTACAAACATTTAATCCTTCGTTTGTCAAAAGTATGAATACTCTCATCTGGATAATACACATAATCGAATGCGCTTCTTAACTTTGCTCTTTACTATGGAAAGCGTATTCTAGAACAGCTTCGATTGTTAGTTTTTATAGTACCAAAAGGTAATAGTCTAGCTTAAGGCAGTGGAACGAGTCATCGAAGAAGTAAAATACTTATAATCTGTGTAATGTCTGAAAATTCACTTCTATGGATATTATTGAAATAAGACAAGATTTCGATTAATGAACTATTGGATAACTCGTTCGTTACAGGAAATAGGATAACATATATTTCTCTAACTCTTGAAGTTTCCGAGATCGACGCGAGACACAGATAGACAGAGTTAGATGGATTCAAATTTCCGATCGTGAATATATACACTTTAGCGTCGATGATGCTTCCTTCTTCCCGTTACATACAATTGCACAAAATATTTATAGCATTATACGCTTATTCATAGGTTCTAGTTGAAGAAAAAAGTATAACAAATAGACTTCCCCGAATTTTGAGATAAATACGGCATTAAGAATTTGAGTCATTTTCCAAATAATAAATTCTGTTGTCAATTTAACGGAGCGGGTATTCAGGGCCACAATTAAATCTGGACAGATCCGGCGGTGCCGGTGCCCCAATCGCGTGGTAACATCAACGAATTACGAATTTTATTACTCATTCTTGTTTTTTTTTTTTGCTTTTCCGTCGGAAGGCAACTAAAATGTCTGTGCATTAGGGTGCTGGGCCAATAAATTTTTTGCAATTGCTGCAAAATGTGTTTTTTTCGAAAAGTATAAAATAAAATAAAAAAGAGGGGGAAACGGCTGTTGTCTGCTCCACAAAGTGCACTGGCCCATTGCAGGGTCAATCCGCATTCGGATCCAGCATTCGTCATTGGCAGTCGAAACCGGAAAGGAACGAGTGTCCATTGTCCAGTTTGGCGCAGTCGCTGGTTTCATGTCTCATGTTCAGTGACCCATTGGACGCTGCAAGCGGCGCCTAATTGACATTCGAGTCCACTTTGTGGCTGCTGCAGCAGCAACAACAACAACAACAACAATAAGCATCCGCAGCATCAACAAAAAGAATAACTTTTGTTTGCTTGGTTCTCATTATTTGGTTAGCCTGTTTGTGTCCGTTGTTCACTTTACCCTTTGGCCATGTCCATTGACATTTTGTGCGACAGCCAAAATCAATATTTGCCAGATACTCAACATATAAGTATCTTCAACTAAAAACACATGGGTTTCCCAAGAGTACTTAAATGACATTGTGTTAAAGGCCAAGACAAGTATGTATCTGGTTCACCCTAATGGACAATGAACACCTTTTGCCAACCAGTTTTCAGATAGTCACGAATCAGTTCCTTACTTTTATTAAAATTCAGTAAATAGACTAGCAACAGGACGAATGCAAAGCATGCTGACCTCGAGGAGAAGGTCGAGAAAAGCATTTGGTTCACCCTAATATGCAGTGGATATTATTTTCCTCACATTCTTCAGATACTTAAAAATCGCTCTCTTACACATCTTTAAATCAAATCAATAGGCGCGGACGAATGACAAAAACAAATTCGAGAAGTTGCCTGAAATGTTGGCAGTCGAAAAACTCCGCCTAGCAACAGGACGAGTGCAAAGGATGCCAAGAGATGAAAGACCTGCAGACAGTCGAGGCAGGGGGTCAAAGCAAAGCGCAACACTTGCAAAATCAAATAAAGGAAACTACAAAGTAAAAAAAAAAAAAACGTTCAGCGACAGCTGCACGGGATTTTGTTGAAGAGCTGACGGTCCCGGGATGAGTTCCTTATTTAACAGGGGTTGCTCTCACACAGATACACACACACTCAGCTCACAATTATATGAGTACAATGAGGGCTGCGTATGTGTGCCACATGGAAACTGCAAAGGATTTTAAAAGATTCTTAAAAGTAAAGTGGCCCGAGCCTGAGCCTGAGCCTCCTGCCTGCCCGCCTGCCTGGGAAGGGAAAAACTACCTGACAGAGACAAAGGCAGCTCAGGCAGGTTGCATACATACACACACCTACACACACACACACACACATCAGGCGCAACCCAGAGTTGCTTTCATTGCTGTGTAAATTGCAAAGCGCATGCGCAAAAAATTTTACATGGCAAATGCATACACTGCGTCTTAGGAAAATGCCAAATTCTGAATGAAAATGTTATAAACAAATGCAGTAAATGCTCTAGAATATCTCAGAATATATTTGGTTTTATAATTTTTATAAATTTTGATTATTTGCTGCAGTTGAATGCGTTTGCCAGGACCTCAAACATTCGAATTGCAATCACGTCCAATTTTTGAGGCTCTATGCAGCACACACCCTTTTGCATGCTGGTGTGTGTGTGTATGTGTGTATGGGGAAAGTAACAAAGTTGCTTCGCTAAAGGGAAAACTTTAGTTTTTGGCGAAAAATCAATAGGAAGCTGTGCGAAATTCAACAATTTCGCATTGCAAAAAAAAAATACAAAGGATTAATTTATTGCACAAATCAAACTATAGCCATGGGCAGTTAGTCTGAGAAGGGGAGCTTGGGTGTGGGCGTGTGTGTACATGTGGGCGTGGAAAACAGTTAATCCTACAACAACAGCAACCCGACGGAGACAAACACGCACAAAGAAGTTGCCAGACAGTTACAAAAACACGATAAATTGTTGTTGTTACCTACCACTTCGATAGTGTATTGACTATGGCTAGATTGATCAATTGATTTAGATTTAGTTAATGTTTATGCACAATACACAAACACTCACTAGCACTTGGAGTGTGAGCAAATTGTAACAGGGTGCCACTAATCCACTGGGGTGGCGACTCTGCACAACGACTGCTACACTATACGCACACACACACTTTGCCTTTTTGGCGCTGTGCTCTGCTTTTTACAATCTGGTTGTATTATTTATTGCTTTTGCATTTTATTTAACTTTATTTAGCGTACACAACTCACGCACGCACACACACAAAGCGCGCTTACGATAGAACCACCACCAGCGAACCGGTTTGCGGGGGTGTGAGTACCGTACCGTAACCGTAGCCCAAACAACTCACACACTCAGTCACACTCTACAAACAGACAGACGTAATCTCCGACTACAATACGTTCGACGGTTATCGCTCGACGGTCCAAACCAGACTGAATTGCCTCTCTGCCAGACAGTTGCTCTGGAGCGGCCGGCCATTTTGCTTAATATTCTCTTGCTGCACGCTGTCAGTGTGTGTGTGAAGGGGCATTTGTTTGGGAAATTTTCTGGGACATTTTCAGGGGACACCTGTTGATATCATGTTGTGAACGAGGCAGCTCGGCAAAGCGGTCTAATTATTGCCAGGTTTTTATACGTGTAGGTACATATTATGAACCCACAATTCAATTATTGATCAGGACGAAAAGCGGTTTTAAAACTGGAAGTATGTTTTGTTGCAAAATAGTCTGACCGATTTCTAGATATCTATTTTTATACCTTGTACCCTTTGCGAAAGGTTTATTTTTTCAAACAAGATTTTTTTGTTAAAATATTTTTATTCGGAATATATGAATTTGATAAAAAGCATATGCAATATTTTTATGATTCTCGCTCTGTAAATTCAAACAAAATCGAACACAACCTAAAAGTTTTTAACATAGTCTTAAATTATATACATACATGAATGTTTATACTTAATTATATGGTATGAGTAATTGATAGAAACACGAATTTAAATATATATAACATAAAGATAACTGCTTAAATATACACTGAGAATAAATGCATCGGGTAGGAAGTCGATTAGTTTGACATATCTAAGGATATTTGAGCTCGAGTCAGGTTGGGGGAAGACACAATTATAGTAAAACTAAAAAATCAATTGTTGGGACAGAGGCTTAGAAAGAAACCTAAATTTAGAACCTATAACTAAAAGTGATACATATTGTATATATGTACATAAAACAAGAGATTCGAAATATTACTTAAGGTAACAATTTGAGCGAGATAATTGCGATTTCCTCATTGGGAATTCGGAGTTGTGAGTATTTTAAGTAACAATTGTCAAGTCTTTACATTTGCCAGTCGCGGGACCTATGTGGACATTTAAATGCGCCAGGAGTCAGAAGAAAACCATGGTTAAGTCTATTGATACATGTCTCTGTGTACGATTTGTTCAATACATCTTTCATTCTGAGAGGTGTTTTTGGGCGGCTCTAACATTGAAACAGTTTTAAAAAACGAGTATTTGAGTAAATCGGGTCTAAAATGGAAACGGAGATAGACGGAAGGAGGCATGTCACATTTAAAAGAGAACCATTCCTTCTTCAACTTTTTTGATCGGCACCCAATCCCAGGTGAGCACAGTAGCCGCTCTCTCAGCAATTTTTACTGCATTGTATAAATAGAGACTCTTGCGCTAAATTCGTAGGATTTTTAGTTCTTGCGCGTAGCGTCTTGTATGATGATCTTATTCTTTTGTCGCGTCACCTTTGTGGACGTCGGTGCGGGCATTAGACGTTTCAGCTGATCCTGGTTGATGTTGGCCAGCGCCTTCTCTTTGCCTTTAGCCGATGTGCTTGTGGTTGCCGTTGTGGTTGTGGTGGTCGTAGTTGTTGCCGCCGTGGTTGTTGTCTCAATCAGTGCTGTGGATTCGTCTGCGGTCGAGGATGAACCTGCCGCGGCAGCGGCTGCGGAAGCATAGCGTGTAAGCACCTGGAACTTGGCAAAGATGTTGCGCCCGCTGCTGCGCTCCTTATCCTTGTACTTATCCAAGACGGCGGGCGAGGGTTTAGGTTGTTGGGCCTTGAGCAGTGTCTTGTTACTGGCCGCCTTGTAAAAGTCCAGGTCATAGTCAAACTCGCTGCTGGTGGCCTGGCCACTAGCAGGTGCCAGTGCGCGCTCTCCATAGCTGGCTGAGCTGGTCGAGGTCTCTGCAGCCAAATGACGAAGCATAAGTGTGAGCTTTGTCTCGTGCTGGCGCTGGAGCAGCACCGCATTTCGTTCGCCCTCAAGTCTAGCCTGCCGCACTGCGTTCGACAGTACACGTTCCTTCCACTCCCAGGCATCACGCTCGCGCTCCAACTGCACCAGCTGCTGCTCGAGTTTGCGGGACGAGTCCCTCAAGTCGATGACTTTCACAAAGTACTTGTAGAGCAACGTGCGCATCTCTTCCGATGAGAGCTTGTTAAGTCGTGCCATCAGCATTTGTTCGCCCTTTTCCCGCTGCTGTCGCTCGGTGGACAGGTCGATAGACTTGTGGCCGCATATTAGCTCGTTTTTGAACTCAATAGCCTCGTCAATAGCCATGATGGCCTCATCGCACTCAAGTAGCTTCCGCTCCTCGCGCTGAGTCAGCATTTTGTCACGCTTGAGCTTGCGATCCAGCGTACAGCGCTGTTCCAGCAAATGGTCGCGCGTGCGACGCAAGTTTCGAATCTCGTGGCGCAGACCTTCCTGTTGGGCCGGCGACTTTTCACCGCCGTCCCATTGCTCAAGATTTTCGGACTTTTCGCGCAGTATGTGATCCAAGTGGGTAATGCGAGCCTGCACTGCCTTGAGCTGGTCTGGATTCGGCTCCAGTTTGACTAGTGATGCCTCCTTTAAGCTCTTGAGTTCGGCTTCCAGCTGATCACGCAGTTTGCATTCCTTCTTAAGCTTTTTCTGCACCTCCTCGATTTGTTTGCGCGACTCCGCAACAGATTGCTGCAGTTTCTTGAGCTTTTGTCCACTCTCGCCGGCAATGTGCTTCATGGAGCTGAGATCCTGCAGGCGCTGCTCAATGTGCGCTACAATAGCGCCCCACCGTTCAATCTCCGACTTATCCTTGCCCTGCACCAGCGCCTTGGCAAGATGCTTTTTGGCCTTGTCGCACTCAGCATCCAATTTGGCCTTCTTCTTATGAAAACGCTGCTTGGCATGGCTGCGCGTCTCCCGGTTCTTTACCAGCTCACTGATAATGTTCTGCTTAAGCTGCATAGTCTGCTCGATTTCATTCAGCTGTCGCTGTCGCGCCTCGATTTCGGCGTGCAACTTTCGCATCTTTTTCTGCACTTGCTCAATGGGCGCATTTACGCCAGCGGCGCCGGTCGCGCCCGATGAGCTGTTCAATGGATCGAGCTCCGGTGACAGTTCAGTTCCCGTCGCCTGCTGTGAAGCAACGCGATTGAGCATTGCCAATTCTGCGCTGCTTAAGCTGGCGCCCGGCTGTATGCTGCGACGTCGACCTAGGAAGTATTAAATAGCAAAGATTATAAAGATGTGCATCTGCACCTGTACTCAATATACTTACCACCAACGCTAACCTTGCGCTCGTCGCACTTTTCAAGCTGTGCGGGTGTCTCTTGAACGGCCAGTTCCCGATCTTTGTCCTGGCTCTGCATGACCGCTTTGGGCTGCTTGAGCATAAACTCTTCATGCTTGGCTTGGATAAGTGCATCCGTTTTGGAGCGAAACTCGTCCATGAGGCTGTTAAGCTTCTCGGCCAGGTCGGGACGCTGTGACTCATTGTCGGTTTCATTGTCCGAGTTTTGCTGACAGGAGGTTTCCGGCTCACTGATGGACTCCTCGGGCTCCTCCGCCTCCTGAATGGGCACAAGCGGCTTCTGGGTGCGCAGCACTTCACTGGAACTGAGGCATTCTTCACACTCTTGCTTTAAAAAGAGCCACTCCTCGATTTGTTCCTTTTCCAGCTCCGTAATTGCATTCGAGCCCATTAATCTGAGAGTGATAATATGGAAAAAAAATTAAAACTGGCGAGCAAATTTCTATCGGCATACTCACTTGGCAAAGAGGCCCTCTGCATTGGACACCAGCTTGAACCACTGACTAGCCGCGAACTGCAGTCCAAAGTTGTCCCCGTTGGGCAAAGCCACGGCCGCCATAAGTGCCTCACTGCCAGCCGCTCCAGGATCGTTCGGAAATGCCTCCGGCGATATCGGAGTATTGTCATCGGAAAAAGTATTCATGATGACATAATTGCGAACGCACTGCACCTTGAATCCGAATTGAAGATTACCTAGCGTCTCGGCAAGATGCTGTTCCAGCGGCGACACACACAGAATGACTAACGTCTGAGCACGACCACCAAAAGAGTCCTTAAGCAGGGTGGTCAGTGTAGTCTGACCGTAGGGAATATTGCCATTGACGCCGTACATTATGCTGGGATCAGTCAGTGTGTTTACCACCTGCTCCAGCATCTGCAGTCCGGCGTCGCGTGGATGTCCCGGAGGCGGCTCACCCCAGCGTTCGCTAGCGCACAGATCCGAGAAACTGGCCGTGGACAGACGATGCTGAATCAGACCTTCCTTCGAAACCCACTGCTGCTCCAGGGTCAATGTAAAGAGCGTGTGAGCGGGTGACTGCTGTTTAGTGCTCAAAGCCAACTGCAGCCAGTGGAAAACTTCTTCCACGGTAGTACAGTGCACATTGCCCATGCCCAACAGATCGCGAATTTCGCCATTGCAAATCTCCACAAACCCCACGTTTACAGCATATGTGCGATCTAAAAAAACAAAAATAAAATGTTCGTAAATGTAAATGTTTAATATCCCATATGGAATGAAAAGCTTAATGGAATCATATAAGCACTCACCTGTGTGCGCCGCAATGTGTGTAAAAATCTCGCGCACACAGCGCTGCACCACGCCCTGGTCCGCCTCTCCATAGACGCACTCGAAACCATGTCCATAGAGCGTGAAAGTTTTACCAGTAGAGCGTTGTCCATACGTAACCACCGACGCATCGAAACCCTCCAAGAATAGGCTGATCAATGGGAACACAGTCTGATGATAAACCTGGCTCTGCGTAGTGCTGCTGGGCAGCGCATGTGTCACGGGAACGGTGTGTGCGCCCACCTGTATAAGACCCGCTGCAATGCTGTCCAGAGCCGCGCCGCCGGGCAATGCGCTCGGTAAGCCTAGAGCCGATACAGCGATTGGTATGGCCTGCACGCAGCAGCCACTAGCACTGTCAAAATCTGGCGTTTCATTTGTATTCAATTGAGTGGCGTCTATCTCGTTATTGCCATTGGCATCTATTTCCGTGGTTTGAACAGGCCTAGACGGGGGAGGGGATGACGGCTCCGATTGCGGCTTGCCTGCTTCTGCGTCGCCATCCTCGGGCGCTTTATGTTCCGCCTTCTTTTGGAGCTCTTCGTGGGGATAAATGCGAACAGCCACTTGTATCGGTATTTCCATGTTTTGTTGTCGCTTTGGCAACAGTTTTTCACTTTGATTTCTGCATTTTTATATATATTTCACTCATCTCAAAAAATATTGCAAATAGTGCTGAATCGATATTGCTGCGCACTGACAACAACTATCGACATGCGACAATGTCCAAAACATCGATAACATTGAAAGTATAAAGTTGGTATTTTATAACATTTAAAAATGCAGCTATAATATGTTAGATGAGTTTATTTTTTGTTATAAGACGTTTTATTTTAGTAATGAATGACTTCCCCCACCTTTCCAAGTTCTACTTTTTTTACTACATTCTGCAAAGTGAAGACCTTGCTCATTAAGTTTGAGGACGGTAACAGAAAAGTGTCATGTACGAATTTTCCTCATTTTTACTACACTTGCGTTGAAAATTATATATAAAGGAGTTTATATATAGATTAGGTAAATGTAATTACTACCAAAAGAACATATATTAAATTAATTATTTAATAAAACCAACTGATTTCGAACTGCCTGGCGGAATCGGAACCACAATTAGCTGCAACCAAGAGAGTTTAATTTAATCCTCTCTTAACATTTTGGCAGCTTTAGATCCCTGCCTTAAAACGCATAGTAAACATGGATAGCGTCTCTTTACGTTCAGTTGCGGAATGGATTTAATTCTTATTAATTGAACTATTCAATGAACAGTCATCACAATCATTATTTTGCAAGAGGGAAACTACCTACTATTTGAAAAATCGAGAAATATCGATATATCGATTAGTAGTGTTAAGGGACTTCTTTGTATATTGGTCGACTTACGATACTTTTTGTCAGCCCTCGTTTTATTTATCGCTTTTCACGTTGCTTTTCAGCGCGTGTTTTTTTGTGCAGAAGATTTTCGCTAAATATAGTGAATTTAACAAAACGGAAAGATGTCGAAACGACGTATTGAAGTGGGTGAAACGTACACCAGCAAGGCAAAGAAGTAAGTTTAAGTCTAAAGACCAATTTTATCTATCGCACATGTTTTAGTTCAACGCCGTGTGTCATTCGCAGAGAATTAGAGGCTTCTACATCGGCATCAGCAGCGGCGGCTTCTACGGCCGGCACGGTCGCCCAAATTTTGGGTGGCTTTGTGCCCAGCAAGCAGGTAAATACATCTGAAGCCACATTACATGTGTAAGCGCTCTTAACACCGCCTCTTATGTTGCATATATCCTTTTGGTAGCCGCCAACCATCAATCCCTTCACAAGAAAGCCTTACTCAGCGCGCTATCAAAACTTGTACAAAAAGCGCATCACATTGCCGGTATTTGAGTATCAGGCGGACTTTATGCGTCTGCTCAGTCAGCATCAGTGTATTGTCCTGGTGGGCGAGACGGGCTCTGGCAAAACGACACAGATACCGCAATGGTGCGTGGATTTTGCGGTCTCCAAAGGACGCAAGGGCGTCTCCTGCACACAGCCGCGTCGTGTGGCTGCCATGTCTGTGGCTCAGCGCGTTTCCGAAGAAATGGACGTTAATCTAGGCGAGGAAGTCGGCTACTCCATCCGTTTTGAGGATTGCTCTTCGCCCCAAACGCTGCTTAAGTATATGACAGATGGTATGCTGTTGCGTGAAGCTATGTCAGATCCCATGCTGGATCAATATCAGGTTATATTGCTTGATGAGGCGCACGAACGCACGCTGGCTACCGATATACTGATGGGCGTACTAAAAGAGGTTATTCGCCAGCGTAATGATCTCAAATTAGTGGTCATGTCAGCCACTCTTGATGCAGGCAAATTCCAGCAGTACTTTGACAATGCGCCGCTAATGAACGTGCCCGGTCGCACACATCCCGTAGAGATTTTCTATACCCCTGAGCCCGAGAGAGACTATTTGGAAGCAGCAATACGCACAGTCATTCAGATTCATATGTGCGAGGAAATTGAAGGTACGTACCCAATAATACCCTATCCTTTGCTTGACACTAATCTATTTTGGTTGCGTGAACAGGCGACATCCTTATGTTCCTCACAGGCCAGGAAGAAATCGAGGAGGCATGCAAGCGCATAAAGCGCGAGATTGACAATCTGGGCTCCGAAATTGGCGAGCTCAAGTGCATACCTTTGTACTCGACGCTGCCACCGAATCTGCAGCAGCGCATTTTTGAGGCGGCACCGCCACCAAATGCGAACGGTGCCATTGGTCGCAAGGTTGTGGTGTCTACAAACATTGCCGAAACTTCTCTTACTATTGATGGTGTTGTATTTGTCATTGATCCTGGCTTCGCAAAGCAAAAGGTCTATAACCCACGCATACGTGTCGAGAGTTTGCTCGTCTCGCCGATATCAAAGGCTTCGGCACAACAGCGTGCGGGTCGTGCCGGCCGCACACGTCCAGGCAAATGTTTCCGCCTCTACACGGAAAAGGCGTTTAAAAACGAAATGCAGGACAACACATACCCCGAGATTTTGCGGTCTAATTTGGGTAAGTTATATTTAGCGTATATATTATTTACATGAATCAATTATATTTGAACTTTCCAATAGGTACTGTGGTGCTGCAGCTCAAGAAACTTGGCATTGATGACCTGGTGCACTTTGACTTTATGGACCCGCCAGCTCCCGAGACGCTCATGCGTGCCTTAGAGCTGCTTAACTACTTAGCCGCCCTCGACGATGATGGCAATTTGACAGACTTGGGTGCTGTCATGTCCGAGTTTCCACTGGACCCACAATTGGCAAAGATGCTGATAGCCAGTTGCCAACACAATTGTTCCAATGAGATACTTTCAATTACGGCTATGCTGTCGGGTGAGGCACAAACTACACAAAAACTCCATGCGTGATTCAGTTGAATATAAATAGGTGTAGAAATGAGCGAATGTTAATCTATTCCAAATTCTGAGCCACGAGCCGATCCTATTGGACTTTGCTTACCTTAATTCAAAACACGAAGTGGAATTTAATAACTTTGTGCTCTATACTGTTTAGCGCAGGCTTCAGTTTCGAGTGGGTCGTTCCTTAAATTGAAAAGTAGATAGCGCTAGTTTAGTGTGGGTCTCTCTCTCTCATGTCACAAGAACATTATCTTAAACTGGCATTTTGACATAAGTTGAATCTTATTCATATATGAATGTGCCACTTGAAGCTAATGTAATTGTGCATTTAGCACTTAAGCCCCATCCGACGACAACTTAGACGCACATTGACTACACTCTTATGTATAATTCTATGTGCAAAGAAAAAAGTTTATCAATTTATTTGTTCTTTGCATTCAACACTGAAGCAAAGTTGCACGTGCGTTGCGCCCGATGCACACATTCGCTTTAAATGTGTGACGCGGCACTCGTTCTAATAATTTAACTTGCTGTAACTGCCGCTGGCTTTGAACGCACATGCAACTCACAAATGCAATCAATCTTTGAATCAAACCTCTAGATTGCCTAGCTGACAAAAATGTAAGCACAATCTATTTGTTTATATAAAAAAAAAACAATGTTTTGAATTTGTGCTTAATCGAAAAAAAACCAATTCAAACATCAAACATCAACCAAAGTGCCACAATGTTTCGTGCGACCCAATGAGGCAAAGAAGGTGGCTGACGAGGCCAAGATGCGCTTCGCTCATATCGACGGGGATCATCTAACGTTGCTGAATGTCTACCACGCCTTCAAGCAGAGTAAGTAAGCCCTCGGTCTTTGTTGATTATCGTTTGATATATATTGGCCTTATCTTCTGTTTTGCAATAGGCAGCGAAGATCCGAACTGGTGCTACGAGAATTTCATCAACTTCCGCTCTCTGAAGAGCGCCGACAATGTGCGACAGCAGCTGGCGCGTATTATGGACCGCTTTAGCCTGAAGCGCACCAGTACAGAGTTCACCTCTAAGGACTACTATGTCAACATACGCAAGGCCCTCGTACAGGGCTTCTTTATGCAGGTAGCGCATCTGGAGCGGATTGGACACTATCTGACCATCAAGGATAACCAGAACGTGCAGCTTCATCCTTCAACATGTCTGGACCACAAGCCCGACTGGGTCATCTACAATGAGTTTGTGTTGACCACTAAGAACTACATACGCACTGTGACAGATGTTAAGCGTGAGTGACACTAGTAATGCCCCGAGTTTTTATAACCTATTAACACACCTTTGCATTCCAGCTGAATGGTTGCTCAGTCTGGCGCCCCAGTACTATGATCTGAACAATTTTCCACAGTGCGAGGCCAAGCGTCAGCTGGAGCTGCTTCAGCAGCGCATGGAAACCAAGCAGTATCAGAAGGGTTTCTGAGCAGAATATCGACTTTTTAATAAACTAGTTTAAACAATATGATGAAATCTAATTATAATGTGCGTTTAAGTAGGCATGAAGATTAATTTGCTTAATTGTTCAATTCAATTGGGTTTGGAATAATCACAAAAATCATGTTTTCTTTTATTGTTTGCTAACGTAATTACAAACTTAAACACAGCTAAGAATTCCGTTTAGTGTTAATAAAAGCAACCTTTTGTATACCTAATAATACACGCTCAATCGAATAATCTCGGCAAGCTTCAACCGTTCGTCTTTTGAAATTGAAATAGTATGACCAAATAAGTAGCTATAGCTGAGGCAAACTGCAATGGAGAATTTATATTGTAAAATTAATATTTTATATCATCATTTGAACATTTAATGTGTAATAATTTGTATGCCTAATTTAACTGCTTTAGAAATCCAATTGCTAAATTTATTTAAAATAAGACAAATATTTTTAAACAAGCGTCTTGGAGGAACTCACCGATGTCAGGATGGTGCGATTTACCCGGCACAGTCCGCTGGCAGAGAATTCGGCATCGACGACGAGCAACTGCTGCCAAAACTTTTTTGTCTCTGCGGCCAAAATGGGCTCATAGACTTTGCGCTCAATTTCGCAGACAATTTGAATGGTTTTGCGTGACTCGCGGGCTGCTAGGTGACAAGGCTCCACGACCATTAGCAGGCGCAAAAAGTGAAAGATGATCCATAGCATTTGCACCCAAACATAGGCGTTATCCTGTTTATTGAACATTTCCAAGAAAAGAAAATACGCAGTTGCAACCAAGTGAAGCAAACAGGAGACAAGTATGAAAAGCACGGCCATTCCATAGGAGCTGCAATGCATATACGATTATAATAATAGCCACATTTCGATATGGGGAATGGTCACCTGGAGAGCAAACGTACGCATTTGCCTAACGACTCGTGATTATCGGCCATGGATGTGATAAGTTGACTCTTGCTTTTAGCTAGATAAAGAGTACAATGACTTTTAGGCTATATAATTGTTAGTCAGTTGTTAGTGATTCCATACCCATAGATTCATTAGGTAACGACTCGGGATTCAACTTGGTTAAGCTGGCGTGCAAGGCCATGGGCATCATCGGCTTGAAGCTAATCGACTTAACAGCACTCACCTTTACCAGATTGGTTGTATTGGGATAGTTGTTTTCTGAAAATATGCCGGTTAACGTGGATGTTTTATTAGTGTCATATCTATTTAGAGTGGGAATATCACGGCTATGCGCCAATAAGGTATATATATATTCTTGATCAGTATTAACAGGCGAGTCGAAACGGGTATTTCTGTTGCCATATAGTCGCTATTGAAAACTTTGTTGTTTATAATGATATCTTGACAAAACTGGGCAATTATCAGTTTTACAAAGCTCCCTACGTATAAGCAAAATCTCATCAATATCGATAGGTCGGATATAAGGTTCTGGTAAGAAACACTTACTTGCTTTTAAAGATATCTTGACGAGTCTCTCGGCATTATTAGTTCCACTCTGCTCTTTCCATATGAACTCATAAAATCTACAAAAGTATTGGATGAATCGTTAGAGATTTCCCTCAGCAGGCATAGCCGTAGAATCGTAGCACTTTTTATCGAGGAGTATACATCCGGCTATTTATCTCTATATCTAATATATATATACATAGATTTAAGGGTCTTACTTCAATAGAGCCGAAAACAATTGAGTTAATACTGTAGAAAACCCATTTTCAGAGTAGAGCCGGATAATGAATTTTCACAAAGATCTTTTTTAAAAGAGTTTGAAACTTTTCAAATGGAACCATTTTCCGCCTATTTCTCACATTTGCAAGTGGAATTTGTAGAAAACTTCGTCACATCACAGAATGCAATCGACTAGGTTGATCTGATCCTATCTTTCTTTTTCCCTCTCTTTCTCTCCCTATTTCGCTCTCTTTCTCCCCCTCTCTCTGTCTTTTTCTCGCTCTCTCTCAATTAATCATTTACTCAGTCAGTTAATCCGTCAATTAGTTAAAACTCTTTTATGTAGATACAGATAAGCTTACCACCCAGATAACTTGTTCTCAGCATCAGATTGAGACGTCCATAGCGTCTGCCCAGCCCGTAAGCTGTGTTCGCGAAATTGATGTGCAGTCCGGTCAATATGAAATAGAGGCTGTAGAAGGGTATGTACCACTGTATGTTGAGCTCTGGCAAATGGAAATTGTATAGCTTGGGGATCAGAGAATCAGTTTCAATTGCATTACCCACCAGTATCAGATTTGTTGATGTTCATCTTCTGCGCCATGCGCACCCACGTCTGCACATCGAGGCCGAGGAGTATGCCAATGACCACAAGCGAAATGCTGGCCATTCCGTAGGCACGCCAGCGATCCCTCTTGAAATTGTTGTATGGACTGAGCGTGCTGTCGATCTGCAAGTGAATTGGAAAGAGTTCTGGACACTTCTTTGGCCATTCTGCGGTTGGCTTTACCCTTTCTAGTCGTGTGTTCAGCTCCTGTGTGGCACGCAAGCCAAAGACGCCACAGTAAACGCCCGCTACGATGGCCATCACGACAACCGACACATCCGAGGCGGTTACCACTTTCGAAGTCGCCGATTTCATTCTGAAAGATGCGCTTTCGATTTGTTGGATTTTATTCAAATTTAGATTCATTCATGTGGTTGAATTAAGCAACATTTTTGTTCAAACATTCAACGTTAAATGCAATTGACATATAAACATATATAACAGGGCGACTTCACTTGGCATTAAGATGATTATATCGAAACATTTATAACATTTTTATTTTGAACAAATAAACAAGAACAAGTGCTCTACACGACTAAAGATACCCTTCAAAGCATTCCTAAAAAGAAACTCCAATGTACGCCGCAAGCTTCACATTTTACTGGAAATACATTCTTGTATAACTCCGGTCTTTTCGGCCGGATCTTAATAAAAATTTCAACGCTTACGTTTGACATATAAAAGTGTGTAGATACCAAAGCCTAAAGTTTCAGACATAAATATAAGTTCTGTTTTAAAGAATCAACATACCAGGCTGTCTCCAGCTCTTATAATCTCCGAGTTAAGCTTGAAAACATTGTTTCTCGATATTATGGATAGGGGGGAATATCAAATCACCTTTAAGTCTTAAAACCCGACAGAAATCCGTTAAATTTAGGAGGTTGGAGTGAAGTAGAAAGTTATTAGATATTGAGTTGGAAAAATATGATGCATTAAAGTCAGATCCCGACATTACTATTCCTAAATTTTGGAATAAAGCGAATAACTTAAAATTTGTTTATTTCCAAACGTGTTGGGCTGGGCTGGACCTGGAAAGGTTCAAATCGTGTTCGTGTTAAGCGTACTTCATAAAGTCCGCCCGATAAAGCTAGATTGTTTGCAAAAGTAGCCCGGCTACTCCCGACTAGAACACTTTAAATTGCTTAGTTAATTACAATCCGAAAAAAAATTTATTTATTATTTGAATTTGAAAACGTTTTAACAATATAAATATGTCTTGAGATTGATCAGCTGGACCTTAACAGGTTTCTTTGGCTTCTCGATGTTGTGTCCTCGTCTAGAGCTGTTGGGCATCCGCATGGGGTAGATCAGCTGCTGGCGCCTCTCGTACAACTCGGCCAATAGGCCTGAAGGTGGGGCGTGGCAAATATGGGGGCCTCTCGTGCCCGGCCAGAGCCATTGCGCAGATTGAGAGCAGGAGCAAAATAATTGTGAACTTCATGTTGCTTTGATTGACAATGCTTGATTGATGCTGTTCGATTTGATTGCAGCGCTTTTTATAGCCAACCATTGCCGCTTGCCATGAGTTGGGGATTTACTTAGGCGGTGATTTTTCGTAAGAGCTCAATACGAGCCTCGCATAATCTATACTTATTAATGAACTGCGAGGTCTATCGACAATTCTGATCGGAGTGACGACTGCAGGAATTGCGAATTTTATTCCAGATCATTAACTCTACTATAAACCCAAATGTGACACAAGTCCTGCTGCCATTTATTGAATATATTTTTAAGCAAAAATCATTAGCAAGAAACTTTCCTTGGGAACGCATTAGCAAAAATATTACAAAACATTTTATTTATTCGTTACGTAGCCTGTCTTCCCTGAAATCTAAAAAGGACACTAAAAATCCTAAATTATACTAACTTGTTTTGAACGCTATAAAAACCATTTTGATTAAATTTGGCAATCTACATAAAAAGTTTTTATAAGATCCTCATCTGAACTCTATCTTAATATCATATTTGATAACAGAACCAAGCTTAATCAAACACGTAAAAGTGCTCTAGTCGGGAGTACATGACTAGGAGATACCCTGTAACCACCGCTGAGCTGCCGATATATTCATTCGAACTTTCTTCTATGCAATTGTTGATACTGATCAAGAATATTTTATAATATATATAATATTATATTATATTTATATTTGCATAAAAGCAAGTTCACTATTTTATGCAAATTTTCGAATTACTTTTCTTTGAAATATGGTCATCAATCACCGTGGTGATACTTTAGGTCGAAATATATGTCAATTGTTTAATCGAAAAGAGTTCCCCTATATTTCAGTGAACACAGCTTTATACTGATAAGACCCCGACTTATCATACCAAGCAAACGAAATAAGTCAATTAGTTAGCCAGGTCACATATTTCCTTGTCTCAAAACGTCGCCCGATATGTAAAGCCCCCAACGCACCGCAAAAAGTACCAGCATAACGCGTAGCTGAAGCGGATCGAAGCGTCGCTATAAAAGCCGCCTTCAGTCAATCGAACAGCATCAATCAAGCATTGTCAATCAAAGCAACATGAAGTTCACAATTATTTTGCTCCTGCTCTCGATCGTTGCAATGGCAATGGCCGGACACGAGAGGCCCCCATATCTGCCACGCCCCACCTTCAGGCCTATTGGCCGAGTTGTACGAGAGGCGCCAGCAGCTGATCTACCCCATGCGGATGCCCAACAGCTGTAGACGTGGACTCAGGATGCTCTAAGAACAGAGGACGAATCCAAATATACGAGAACAGGACAATTACAAAGAATATTATGTAAAGCTTGCAAACTTTGATGCTTAACTACAAAAATAAAATAACAATTTATAGCTAAAAAGATGACTCGTTATTTACTGTGCCTACAACATCAATTTTTATGGGCAAATTTAACTTACCGAACTGGTATTTTAGAGTTTGCATCAAACAAAAGTCCGCGATAGGTCAAGAAAACTAACTCAAGGAAATTATTTCAGATCTAGAGCATCTCTGTGCTATATTTTGTTAACTTACCCATGATCACACACAAGCAAACCGAGTAAATGGAAAATATCCAACTACGACGGATCTCTACCTGTCCTTTGGAATTCCTTTTGGCTGAATATGGCGCAAGGGCCAAAATCCGACTAACATAGAATATGCCAACGCTGGGCTCAGAAATTTCCATGGTTTCGCAAACGGTTCCTTCAAGCTCTCGACAAGTACTGAGTTCCTGGCCCCCGAAACAGGAAATAACCAAACTGCAGACTGTGTGTTTTCTTTCCTTTTTTTAATGCGCATTTGACACTGAACAAATAATGCGCTCCCGTGTTTGACTATTATTAGTTCAGACAGCCTAAGTGAAAACTATAAGGCCACCCTGCACCGGCACATGGCACATATGAAGAAATTGTTTACTATAGTTCTGTCTGTCCGTACGAACCGTATAGCTGCTGTAAATAATAATTAGAGTCCGCGATGTCAATCAATTAAGGACATAGGAGCCAATTATTCGCTGACAGCTGGCCCGAGGCCGCGGCATCGAGTTTATGAATGAAAAGTTCGGTCCGTAGATAGTGTGGGATGCTATCGACAATTGTCACGCCATTTGCAAATACGAATAAATACGGCTTGTGATTTTAATACAAACATTTACGGCGAAATTCAACTTCAATGCCTTTAAAAAAAAGTGTAATAGTTGGGTTAAAAAACAAATGTGCAATAGAAATTAAAACTGAATATGGCTCTGTCTGCTGTTTCTAGTTCGGAACGGTGTTGGCATTGAAAATCTCAATCCAGTAGCCATCCGGGTCTTTGATGAAAGCCAGGCCCTTCATGCGGCCATCGTCGGGCTTCTTGACGAACTCCACGCCCTGCTCCTGGAACCTACATAGAAGAGATGAAGATCTTTATATATACACGTGAGAATGGCGAGATTTGGACCAACCGTTTGCAGGCAGCATAGACATCTGGTACCAACAGTCCGATGTGGCCATAGCCGCGAGGTTCGCTATTGCCCGTGTGATAGCTTTGATCTGGATCGTATTCAGTGCCCCAGTTGCTGCAATTAAACTCAATGAATCAATCAAATCAATCAAGAGACTTAAAAGCACTTACTGCGTCAATTCAATGGTGGCCTTGCGACTCATTGCCCAGCTTCGTCGCTCTTTGGGATCTTTGGGTATATCGGCAGGGTTTTCATAGCTGTCAGAGAGTTTCAACAAATCCGTGTTAATTATAATTGCCATATGTTGGTCACTGCCACTTGAACTTACCCCATGAAGTATAGGGAAAACTTTGCCTCTGGAAAGTCCAATTTCACCAGCAGGGTCATGCCCAAAACACCCGTATAGAAAGGCAGCGATTTGCGAGGATCCTTGATGCGGTACATGGTTTGTTGGAACAGAAAGTCCTGTCGAAAAGATTTGCAAATTTTTTTTGTTTGTTCTCATTGCGAATTCTCTTACGATTATTACCATGAACTCACCTTGGTTTCAGCATCCGGTTTTTTGCATAGCTCGTCGGCTTCTGCATTGCTCAGACCTGTAACATCACCCATTTCTTTCTAGACCTACTAGTATCTGATATCTGTCGGATTGCCAAAATTTCAATTTTTAATTTTTTGCAAAAAACACACGTTGCTTGGCAAAGTTGCGCTCAGCTGTTTTCCATTGAACAGCTGCTCGCTCAGCTGGGCGCAGCGTATATTTCTAGAATATTTATGGTCTTGCACATTTTTTAAGTCTAAAGATCTGGATAAAAAATTCTTTTTTCAATTTGATCAAATATCTGTTCCTAAATTGGAATTTATCGCGTATAAGAGCGGATAAATTTAAATTCAACGATACCCAAGTTATTTTATTTTGATTTTAAATTTAAATTTAAGGAATGGCGTCTAGCCTAGTTTTCACAATTCACCTGTTTTGCAGCTGGAAGTAATATGCAAGATTTTAAAAATACAAACATCAACAATATTCTGCCACACGAAGCAAGCGGCGAGCTTTTTTATTTCATCGATAACACATTATATACATCGATAGGCAGTGTTTGCTCGGCTGCCGTTTTGATTAAATGCACCACAACTAGTGTTGAGTAACGTTTTTAGACAAGCTTAAACAACAAAACCGTTTCAAAATCAAATTTAAATAGTAAATAAAAATTATGTCCTATACTAATACGAGCTGGCCAAAGAGCACCAAATTAAGTTCGTTCGATTTAAGGGATATCATACAGAAGCTGTCGACCAACAAATCACCCATGTCCGGCGTTACGATTTCCGAGAGCACCCTAACAAGCTTGTGTATGGCAGCTCAAGGCCTATTTCTGAATCAACCTATGCTGCTGGAGCTGAATGCGCCCATAAATATTTGCGGCGACATACATGGACAGTATGAAGATTTATTACGCATATTCAAAAACTGCGGCTTTCCACCCCTTGCTAATTATCTCTTCCTTGGCGACTATGTAGATCGCGGACCTCAGTCAATAGAGACTCTGACATTGCTGCTCGCTTACAAGCTGCAATACCCATATACATTTTTCCTGCTGCGCGGCAATCACGAATCCTCGGACATAAATCGTATGTACGGCTTCTTTGACGAGTGCAAGCGACGCTACAGCATCAAGCTATGGCGCACCTTTGTCGACTGTTACAACTGCATGCCAGTGGCGGCCATTGTGGAGAACAAGCTGTTTTGCTGCCACGGCGGACTCAGTCCGGAACTCAAGGATCTGGAGGCCATACGCGAGCTACCTCGACCAACTGAAGTACCGGTGTCTGGCTTGATGTGCGACCTTCTCTGGTCGGATCCCGATAAAAACACCACCAGCTGGGGAGCAAACGATCGCGGAGTTAGCGTCACCTTTGGCTCCAGCATCGTCGAATCATTTCTCACATCGCACGGCTTCAACTTGATAGTGCGAGCCCATCAGGTGGTCGAGGATGGTTACGAGTTCTTTGCAGGACGAAAACTGGTTACGGTCTTCTCGGCGCCCAATTATTGCAATACCTTTGACAACGCTGGCGCGATTTTGATAGTAGACAGATCGTTAGTTTGTCGATTTGTAATATTAAAGCCGCAAACACGGGCCTCAGCTGGCGTCCTGAGGTTCTCAGATGCGAATGCTTTTGAGAAGCGTCCCAACAAAACAATCTAACATATCAATATAAGTATAAGTTAACCTGAGTCAATTGTATAATATAATTCGTTCACTTTATTTAATTGTTATCGGCATCCAAGCTGCGTAACTCACTTCCGAATCCTCATCTATTTACATGGTAAAGGCATTTTCAAGGGCATGTTCTCTGTGTGTGTGTATGGTTTCTGCTCTTAACTATTTACATAACGTTGCTTTTGTCATTGTATTGATTTGTTATTGCTTCATTAAAGCTAATCCAACTGATACTGATCCGAGTGGTTCGGTATTTGTATCGTTATCATATTCGTATGGTTTGTGTGTATACGGTATGGATATATGTATGTGTATATAGTTATAATATATATGTATAGCGTACATTTGCTTATCAATTAAACTACTTGCTTGATTTTCATTGTAATAGTATTTCCCTCTCGTGTGTATAAGTAATTATAATTAGTTCTAGGCTTGTGCTTATGATTATCAGAATCGTTTTTTGTTGTCGTTCAGTTTTTGGTGTCATAAAAATAATTTCTAAATGAAATATCTATGGATTGGAAATCAATCAACATTCTTTTTACATTACACATTATATTATATTTTCGTTTTAAAAAAATAAATTGATTATTCTCTTCGTGTAGAAGTTTCGGCTGTTGGTCGTTTTCTTCTGGATGGTTTTTTACAAATGCATTTTATATTTCGTGATTGGCAAATTAAATGCTATTATTAAGTATAAATCCTAACAAAAACTTGTATGTGGACTTGATTGTGTTTTAAGTGCATTTCTCTATTGGAAGGAGTCGAATTATGAGTATTATTGCACCTGCTGCTTAATAAATCGGCAGTATAATGTACATAGGTTGGGAATATGAAACAATAAGTAAGATGATAGTTCTTTCAATGCATATTTATTTTTCCACATCGTTTCTTTGCTTTAAATTATTGCAAGCACATAACAAAAATCATAATAATAGTTATTACAAATTAATTAAAAAATTACAAATAAATTCAAATAAAACATGAGCTAAGAACATAGATGTCTTCATACCGCACAGTAGCTAACGTGAACTAATAAGAAGGCGCTAGCAATTAAATATTAAATACTTGTAATATCGGCTAACAACATTACTGAAAATTAAACATACATTTTTTATTGCGTAACAATGACAAAAGAAATCGCATATATTAAATTAACTTGACTAAAACGAGCGAAGCAAAGAACAAAAATAAAATACAAATCATAAACTAATGTACAATTTATATAAGCATGCGTTGTTTTTTCATGTTTTTTATGTTTTTTTTTTATATAAGTATATATATTTTTGTTGTCCGTCTCTTTTGGTGTTTTGTTTGTTTGTCAAAAAGTGTTTGTTACATCTAAATGTTAGCTGAAAATCGCTTAGACTAAAATGCGTAATTAATGGCAAAAATCCGCTGTGGTCATTTTTTGTTATCGTTCTTCTCACTTAACAATTACACGTGTATATATATGTGTGTGTGTGTGTGTTTGTATATATATTTATATATTTATGTGGTTCTATTAGAAACTAAATAATTTTTGTTGTCGTCTGTTTGTATGTAAATCTATAAACATTGCGCGCACTCTTCAGGACTGCCAACAAATTTCACATAACCTTTGATTTAATTTTAAAATTAATGTACATTGAATTATTGGCAAACGTACGTTTAGCATTACAATTACAATTGTGTTTCGTGTTTAGTATTTTTCTTCTGTTTTTTTTGCATTCAATGTTCTCCAGCACATTTGGAAATTGTAAAAATTATGTTAAAAATTATTTAGTATATTATATGTATGTATGCGTAATCATAGAACTAAGAATTTATTTATAAAAATTTCACTAGCAATTAAATTCACCATTCAATAATTTCAACTTAAAAACGCAGAGAGAATGAATATCAATAATTAATAGTGTTTTTGCTATAGTTTTTTTTGTTGTATGCTATTTCTGTATGGTCGTTTCTTGATTTGTTTCAGAGTACTCAAAAGAAGGCATATATAGATTACAACTAAATGGTTTACAATTAAAAACGGCTAATCGTCATCATCATCGGAAGAATTTGAGGACAATTGCAGATCGTTTTGTAGCAAGTCATTGGGAAAGCCACCGTTTGTTGCATAAATGCCGGACTGCTGCTGTTGCTGCTGCTGCTGCTGCTGATGATGATGATGATGATGATGATGCGACTGCTGTAGCGACTGTTGCTGTTGCTGATGATGATGACTGTTGTAGGCCGGCGATACGGAACCAAGTTCCAGATTGGGCAGCTGATGCATGTGTTGTTGCTGCTGATGCTGCTGCATATGATGATGTTGTGGTTGCTGCGCTGGCGGCAGCTGCTGATTGGGATGATGATTGGGACGATCATCGTCGGTGCTGTCATCAGAATCACTACCACTATCGCTGTCGCTGGAATCAGACTCCGAGCTTGAGCTGGATGCACTCAGTTCGCCACCAATTTGCTGCAAATTATATCATAAGATTAGAAATATTCGAACACAGTAATTGAGGGGACAAACCTGTTCCAGGGCGGCGGCCGCCTGCTCCATCGACTGTGCGGTTTGCTCATTATGAGTGGGCGAATCCATATCCATGGGCATGCTGTTGCTATGATTGCTATGGCTAAAGGATGCGCGTTGCTGAAGCTGCTGCTGCTGTTGTTGCTGTGCGTAGTTGTTGCTGCCTCGGCCATAATTTTGTTGCTGCTGCTGCTGCTGCTGCATGGGAGGACTGGAGCGTTGAGTCAGTTGTTGACGTTTGGTGTGACCTTGCGGCGTCGCCTGCCTTTGCTTTCCTGAGTGCGATGACGCATAGTCCGGCTGGCCGGCTGAGGAGCCTGTGGAAGAGCCCGATATATTCGCTTGATTGCCATTGTGTAAGGCAGCGTTAAGGCCAAAGTCATCATCGTCCATTATCATAGGTATGCTAGGCAATGTCTGTTGGGCATTGTTGGCATGCCAACTAGATAAAAAAGGGGAAAAAGAAAACAATATAGCGCTATACACCAGAGTTAGAAAATAGAACACCTACGCCGGCGCCGATTGCGGACTCCTGTGCGAGGCCACTGGACGTGATGGTGAGCTCTGCTGCATGGGCGAATTACGTGGCTTAAAATCAACTGAAAGACCATTCGATAAATGATTAGCTGGTGTTATCAAAAACTTTAGTTACTTTACTTACTTATGTTGTTCCGGCGACTGCCAGTGGACACTTTCGTTTTCGATGAAATGCGCATGGTGCTGTTTTCCAATCTTCCCCCAGATCCTGTTCCAGCTGCCGCCGTGGACGGAACGGGACCACCATTAGCGCTAGACATGGGTGCATTTACAGCAGGCATCAAGCTTGGCTTGTTTGTCACTTCGCTTCTGTAATTTGTGTGTAATGTTGTGTTAGTGTTGGGCAACGTTCAAATGCCATTAAGTATTGTTCAACTGCTACTGACCTTGTCTTCTTCACTTGTATATTGTGGTTTAGCCTTTCTAACGTGATAGCACCCGTTTCCTTGTCGAAAATGATTAGGCATTCTTTTGTATATTTTTTG